ATACAACAGGTTTTATTTTACATATTGTATTTTATAATTTAATTTTAGGAAATAAAATATAATTCACTAACAATAAATGTTTAAAAAAATAAATGTTTATATTTCCCAAATATTTATTAACTGTTCTTCTTGGAAAATATTTTGTTCAATGTCTATTATTGCCGAAATGCATGTATATTCGGAAATTTCAATCAAAAAGTTTTTAATTATAAATTAATTGTAATAAAAATTTGTATATATTTAAATAAAAATCTTACATTGGGCGCACACCAAATAATTTCATAACGCCATCCAAAAACATTGCTGGTAAAATGTGTAAAAATAATACCAATATATAATATATGTAAAAATTTTTTGTTATTGTCGTTGCTGGCTTCCAAAGTATATTATCCAAAGGTACGTCTTTTGCAAGGCCAAGGCCTGAGTTAACCATATTCTGTATGGTCATAGGCTTTATATTATTTCCGGAACAATTGTAAACATCAATTGTTTTGTTCTCACTAAAGCATAAAATGTGTTATGAATTTCTATATAAATCGAATATATATAATATAAGGTGTAGTAAAAAGAAATCCATTATTTTTCCAGTAGATGGCTTTAGTAATCTGTATCTCGCGTTGTATAAGTGCGATCGGGTTACACTAGATGATGTTAGAAAGATAAGATTTCGTACTAAAAAAACTTCTCAGACAATTTTGTGATTGCTTGACTCAGTATTGTTTGAGCGCGCGTCAAAGATAGACACCAGCAAAGAGAAAATACGCTATATTTTACAGTTTTTCTTCGATAAAGGCGAAAACGCAAGCCAGGCGGCTGAAAATGTGAATAGTGTTTATGGTCCTGATACTGTAACAGCCAATCACACGCAATTTTGGTTTCGTCGATTCCGTTCTGATAATTTTGATGTCAAAGATGTATCACGCTCTGGAAGACCAATTGTCGAAAATGTCGATAAAATAATGGAAATCGTCGAGTCCGATCGTCATGTAAACACTGTTTCGATTGCCCAGGAGCTAAAAATTGCACAGAAAACCGTTTGGAACTAAAAGTACACAGTGCGACAAATATGTGTATGGTTCGAATCGTTTCTCTACTGATATTTAAAGCCTCCTCCATCATTTTTAGATGCATTGCGATCGTTTGCAACAAAATCACATACTTTTTCGATCATTTCGGGTGTTCGAACTAAAATTGGCCGTCCTGATTTTTTGTCATCTTCAAGGGTCTCTCTGCCTTCCAAAAAACGCTTATGCCACTCAAAAACAGCTGTACGATCTAGACATTGACTGCCGTAAACTTGTTGCATCGATCGGAATGTTTCTGATGCACTTTTACCAAATTTTGCGTTAAATTTAATCACTGCTCTTTGTTTCATATTAAAATTTCTATCTCGACCAAAATCTTGTTTAACATGAACTGTCATATCTTCGTTATATGTCAACCAAAATGAATGAAACTTTGACAGATGATAGCAAAATGTTCAACCTTTAAAATACATGTTTGAACGCACAGATGTCGCCACTGGTTGCTGAGATGTGATTCGTGTTCGGGAACATATTTGTCGCACTATGTATGAGCTGCTCCCCTATGGGCAAACTCTTAATTCGGACTTGTACTGTCAACAATTAGATCGTCTGAAGGAAGCAATCGCCCAGAAGCGTTGGCCAATAGGAGAGGAATTGTGTTGTGCATCAGGACAACGCAAGACCACACACATCGATAGTGACTCGCCAGAAACTCCGGGAGCTTGGTTGGGAGGTTCTTATGCATCCACCTTATAGTCCGAACCTGACTCCAAGAACCTGGCTCCTGATTACCACCTGTTCCTGTCTATGGCGAATAATTTTGTTGGTGAAAAATTCGCCTCAAGAGAAGCTTGTGAAAATCGACTGTCCCAGTTTTTTGCCAATAGGGATGAGGGTTTCTATGAGAGAGACATAATGGAATTATCTTCAAAATGGCAACAAGTTATCGAACAAAACGGTGCATATTTGACCTAAATCGGATCGTTCTAACTATACTAAATAAAGCCTTCAATTTCATGCAAAAATAATGGATATCTTGTTACTACACCTTATATTTCTACTATCATTTTAGAATATAACACATTAAAAGGACTTAAATTGTTTTATTTTATCATAAGTGTCACTTACGTTTTGATTCCATGTTTCCAAGTTACAATCAAAATAGCCTTAATGGTTGCATCAACTGGCACAAAATCGGAAATAATGTTAGGATCACACCACAATACTCGCAATACGCCTTTGCCACCACCAATTAGCATTCCAATAGGTCCATTGAAATTGTCAATCCAACCTCGCACAGGTTCAATCAATGTTGATATGACTATACAAAAAAGTAATTTGATATTTCTTTAATATCTATTCTCTGTATTTCCTATATAATTTTATGTTAGCTTGTTTTTTAATTATATCTTAGTTTGTATATTTAACATAATGTTTAATATAAGATATATTAATAAATTACTTTTTATTTTGCATTATCTAACATATACATTAAATAAAAACTAAATATTTTGTTATTATATATAATAGAGTATAGAGTATCTGATAATTGTATCTATTATTTCTCTATTATTTCTATCTATTATTGTATCTATTATTTCTTATTATTTCTTTCTTCGTGAACTGATAAAGCGTAAAACGAAACAAAAAGATCTTTTACCATAAAAATGCATCCATACGATTTAATACAAATAAATAACAATGAAGAAAAGGCAGCCCAGCATTACATGACATTACATTGCAGTATTTGTGCGGAGAGCCATTGGGGAAAAGTTCTTATAATAGCGAATACGTAACGCTGGACTTGTTCTTGTCATTGAATCGTGTGGATATATTCTCATTTGCAAATCTTTGTCAATTAATTTCTTATTAATTATTGAGAAACTCAATGATATTGACTATAAAAATTATCGAAAAGGTTGTAACAACTAATTCCGATCCTTTTTACATATACACATAACATTAATCTAGAACAGAAAGTGCCCAAGTAACACGGTCTGACTATGTTCGCGGCAACAGCAAACATGTGACTAGTACAACATTCTGCCAGTCTTAATTACAATTTGGCAGCCACAGTTATTTTAGCTGTATATATAGTAATAACTATGTAATCAGTATGACAGCTAATAAAAAAGTAAAAATACAGCCACAGCTATCTTGGCTGTATTGATAGCTGTACAGTCGCTGTGACAACTAGTAGAAAAGTTAAAATGCAGTCATAGCTATTTTAGCTGTAAAAGCACATATACGACAAATTTTACAGTCAAAATAGCTGTCATCTTTTCGAAGATTCATTCCTTTTCGATCCGAGAATCAAAATGAAAGCCCGTTCTTCTTCCAACTCTCGGGCACAACGCATAAATTTAATTCATCATCTTCCATCGATTTCTACGATTATAAACATTTAAAATTTTTTTGACAGTAAATAGAAACAGTAAGCAGTTTTGTGGATGATTAGGTTATCTATCACGTCGTGATCGATATTGTATTCGTCTCCATGTGCCATGGGTAATATTATTAGTTTTGATGCACGTCGTGCCATAAATCGTTACCGCACATGCGCATAGATACAAGCTAAAACACAGCCAATATGATGTAATGTAGCTGTAATTTGTATGTCACAGCAAAAGCAAAGAGTAACATATATAACCTGTCAGTTTTAGGTTAAAAGTATGTATCAGTGGTCTCTCTCTTTCTCTCTCTCTCTCTCTCTCTCTCTCTCTCATGCGGATCCATACGTTCATTTAAGTGGCTCTAAAATTATTACTTAAGGATCTGTGTGTAGTTCTGTAATCAGCGTATTTATGAATTTACGTCCGCGTTAATATAATTATATGTATGTTATAAATTGTAATAAGTTGTAATGATTAATTAATCCTTAAATTTGATCTAATTCTAGTGAGAAAGATTCCGGGTTGTTTCAAGTTCAATGCCAGCTGAAAAAAAAACTTTTTATTGTACAATGCGAGTTTGATTATCAATGATGCAATCGAGAACAAACTTTGATTTTTATATGTCTTAACTATGTAATATTTCCACAATTTTTGTTTACATTGATAATGATCCAACAGGGATTGACGTTTGTTTTGTTTTGTTTGTTACTGGCAAATTAAAGTTTATATTTTAACTAGATGACATATTTTATTTATTAACGGTTTAAAAATTTTTATTTTATAACGATTGTTTTTTAGGTTCGTAGCCCTTTATATTTCTATTTTTTAAATTTATTGAGCCTTGTTACTGCGAATTATAATTTTTTATTGTATTTTAAATATTTGTATGTAATTTTAAAATTAAAAATTAAACTTTCATTGAATATTATTATAATTTATATATGAAGAATTTCTGCTTATTAGTTTATTTTATTTAGATTATCTCTTACTATAATATATTTATATGGTTATGACAACAGCAACTCTTTACAGCAAAATGATTGTGCAGTTGAATGATTGCAACATCATTTCCAAAACCCAAAAATGTTGTCCCATTTTTGCTGCTATAACTTTGTCACAATGTCATAATAACGTTGTGGCAGTGACTGTAATAGACAAAAATGCTGCGATTTAAGCTGAGACAACGTTATCGCAGACGTTTTAAAGCTTCATGTATTACTTGGGTGTCAAAGATATTTTTATATTCTTTTTTAACAAAACAATATCTATTTACATTTTTTTATGAATATAAAACTAATTCTAACAAAAACTTAAATCAGGAAATTTGATTAACATAAAAATAAATTTATATATAAACAAATGCAAGTAATGATTAAAAGAATATGTATATTATTATAGCATTACGCACCAATGGAAGGCCTAATCAGAACACAAGAGAGTGATTTGGAATAATCGCTTATCACTTGCTCAGCCAACCTTTTAGTAAAAATATAAGTATTTGGCATCGTTCCTAGAATTCTGTAAATAAACGTGAATGTTTATTTTAAAAGTGACAATATGACATATATCGCCCTCTTTAAAGCTTACTTTGCTGTTAATATTTCAAGACTGTGTTCGTCGACGGATTCGGCAATCTCTATCATTTTTTTCCAGTCGAATTCTGAAGGATATAAAATTTCGTCCACTACAAATTTATCAATTTGCGTATATGTTGAACTAACGTGCAATAGAACCTTGAATGTATACATTAAAGATATTAAGATATTATTAATATCGAGAATTTATTTTGAGGCAATAGACACATTCTTAATTAATACACTTCGCATTTGGCAGTTTTCATATATAGTCTATTTTACAATGTTAAATATGAAATTAAAATAAATTTTTTTTTATTATAAAGAGAGTTTTACGAATTGTTAACTGAGTTGACAATAAGCGAATTTTATTTTTTATCTTCTTTATATACAATATTTTATACGTTTATTCTATTAGATGTACAAATAAGTTTCCGCCGTTTGACAAAAGACAGCGCCACTAGCAAGCTATGGTTAAAATTGTCTGATGTAAAACATTATATCGTAAGGTTGGACATCTGTCAACAACATAACCTTAAAATACTAACGATTTTGTATCAGCATCATATATTTTTTTTTGTGCGAAAATGCCGAGTTTTGAGTCAATAATCGTCATTTGCGGGAACTTTTGATTTACTTCCTTAATTTGAAGAAATCTGTAGCTGAGGCTCATCGATTGCTTGTAGAAGCATATGGTGAGGCTGCCTTAAGTGAGAGAAGTTGTCGTGAATGATTTCAAAAATTTAAGAACGGTGAATTTGACGTCGAAGACAAAGAACGTAGCGGAAGGCCGAAAGTGTACAAAGACGCTGAATTGGAAGCATTATTGAATGAAGATTCGTGCCAAACGCAAAAAGAACTTGCACTTACATTTTGATTTACATCAATAAAACATTATGTATTGTTCTTTCACAATAAATGCTTAATTTTTGATAAAAAACGGCGGAAACTTATTTGTACACCTAATATTATTGTAGAATAGAGCGTTTAGACGCAAGGACTGTTTATGTATATAGTATTATGTATTATGTATTAGTATGTATTAAGATCGATTATATTTGATGATGAGTGATTTGTCGCGATATTATTGGAACAAGGGTAGTCGCTTGTGAGACGTGGTACAATATACTTCTCAGCTCTCTTCGTTAGATTTCCATTATTACATATCCTCTCTTCCTAGAATTTTGGGGACTCGTCCTCAAGTGAATCTGAGAAGTACAATAGAGAAGAAGAGAAATTTCAAAAAAAAAAGAAACGAAAGATGGCTATAAGTGTGATTTGAAAACGACGAGTAATTTTGAGATAAAGACAAAACGACAAGAGGACGGCTGCGGAGACGATTCGAAGACGGATGATTTCGTTCGACTCATGAGCGACGATCAAGAGCTGGTGATCAAAGACGCCTATTCATTTATGGGAAAGGAGAATATGGTTATATGACACGCTAATTTGGACAGTAATGAGATATGAAGCAGAAATATGGGAATGGAAAGAAAGGAAGAAAATTGAGAAGGTACATGAAAGATTTCTGAGGTAGTTAGGAGTAAATTGTAAAACGCCGAGATATATGATGAGGGAGGAAGTGAAAAGATGAATGATCAGAAGGTAGGGTAAGGAAAAAAAGCAGAGAAAAAAACATGAAATTATGAAAAAAGGTTACAAGAAGAGAGCAGAGGTGTATTAGCTGAAAAATGTTTGAAAGAGATGAAGGAAAGATGGAAAAGAGGAAAAACAATAGATAGATGAGAACAAGAAAGAAAAGAATTTTTCAGAGAAAGAGGGATAAAGGAAGAGGAGGGAGAGAGAGAGAGAGAGAGAGAGAGAGAGAGAGACAGAGAAGAGATAGAGTATAAAACATTAGAAGAAAGGGATAGGCAATTACAAAAGATAGACGGAATTAAGAGAATAGGAGAATCAAAGTACAATAAGGTGGCAATAACGAAAGAGAAGATATCAAAGTTCCTAAAGAAAGAATAGGCAGAAGAGAGATGGAAAAGAATATTAAGGTTCAGAAATGAGATGAGGGAAGAAATATAATATATTGGAAGAGAGAGGAGAAAAGAGAATACAGGATATGCGGATTAGAGGAAAAAACACATTTTATGGGAAAGTTGTGTAAAATGGAGGTAATGGGAGGGGGAAAGTTGGCAGAAGGTGGTGAATAGGATATTAGGAGAGGAAGCAAAAGGGGGAGGATGGATGAGGGAGGTAGAGAAGGAAAAGAACAGAAATGAGAAAAGAGGAAGGGAAGAGGTGAGAGGGGAGGGAAAAGGAGAAAGGGAGGAAGAGAGGAGTGATGAGATGAGTGAAAGAGAGAATAAGTGTGGAAAATATATGAAAAATGGAGATGAAAAAGGGTAAACGGAAGTTTGCGTAGGTTGTAAGATAGCATTAAGTTAGTTTTAAATTAGTATTAAGTTAATCTAAAAAAAGTAGGAAAATCAGAATAAGAAGGCGGAGGCGATAACAATTACGTGAGAGACGGTGTGTGATGTGTTGGTATAAGTTGAAATTGTATGCAAAGGAAAATTGTTCTTTTTAACCCCATAAGGGATCAAATAAAGGATCTATTTAATAAACTTGATTTTAAATAAAATAGTAAATAAATGTACTTACTTTCAATTTTTTCATTTTTTCGGCTAAGACACAAATGTCACGTGTTGATCTAGTATTACTGAAGACCGCTTCTTTGAGACTTTCATCAAATCTGACATTAGCGGCAACGTGGAAAATTATGGATACTCTGTCAATTAAGACTTCGCGATCTACGGCTAGCAACCCTAAATTTTTAAGAGCTACATCTCCTGTTATAGGGATGATTTTGTCAAAACTGGATGGTTGTTCGTTTCGTAGTTTGTCGAATAACTTGTTATTTAACATTTTTTTGAGCCTATCATCAACGCTCAGGCCCTTTTTTGATCTGATCAATATAAATATTTCTGCTATTTCGGGACAAGATCGCAGGAGCTTTTCAATGAGCGCTTTTCCCAAAAAACCAGTGCCACCGGTTATAAAAATACTACGGCCGGCATAAAAGGCCGGAATGTATACATTTGCATTATTTTCCATGTTAGAAAATGAAACAGAAGTGTAATCACTAAAATATATAAAAAAAGGTAAATAAACAGTAGTAAAAAAAGAGAAAATGTAATTTAAACGTAGATAAATTCAATAAAAATTCACTTTGTAACACGGTACGAAATCACTTATCTTCAAGACACGACAAACATATGAGCAATAAGAAATTGAATAAGGAATTGAACAGGAAATGATATAGGACATATCTAATGATAATGATATTCTTGAAAGTTCAAAGAGCCAAGTTCTCCATATTTATGTATTAATCTACATATATTGTAAGCTTTGTGATTTTTGTAATAAACGATTTATTTACAATTGTAAATAAAACGTATTGCTATTATATATATATATATATATATATATACGTTCAATACTCTGTGCATAACTTTGCATAAAGTTTTCTTTAAAGTCATGAGAAACATATGCCTCGATAAAAAATTTGTTATGCATAAATATATATAAATACATTTAAACATATGTAATTATATGTAAAGTGTATATACATAACCATACATTCTTCTTTCTTTTGTAAAATATAAATTACTGTCTAATATAAGAAAAATAATAATAATGAGAAAATATAAAAAATAATTAAGAGGATAATTTTTACATTGTTTCTTTTAGAAAAAATCAAGTTTGGAAAAATATAAAAAAGTCACTCATACATAATTATAAATAAAGTATTATGTAATTATGAGAAATTCTTCTGTATTTTTCCTTGTTTATCATTTATCAAATTTATCTACATACAATATCGATTGTTGTTTAGATATCCGTGTAAATAAAGATAATATACTTCTGACTGTTTGTATATTTCGCAGAATTTCTGGAAGAAAAAACCTAGGTAACATTTATGTTACATAAGATATCTAAAAGACGTCTTTTAGATATCTTGTGTAACATGCATGCGTGTTATCTAGGAAGTCTTTAGATATCACCTTAAGTCACGCGCTTTTAAATATCCAAAATGTTTATAGATCGAGCCCCCTTTTTTATTGCCTTTTTAGTTTTAAAAATAAAATAAAATTTGCAGAAGCAAATCGAAGAAATAGGGAGAGTGATTCAAACGGTAATACAACGCTAACTCAAGAACTGCCGTATAATAATCGCAGTATAGGATAGGTAGTAGACATGTTGAAGCAAATATTAACCTTCTGAAAGTAGAATTGAGCAGTCAAATAGAATTACAATCAAGTAGACTTGGACATTTAGGTTTGCTCTTGAGGAACAAATTCTTTATGCATGATGAATTCATAAGAAAACGAATAAGAGTCTGAATTTAATTGATAAGTAAATTGAGTAATGGACTTAGAAACGAATAATTAAGTGGAAATGATGGTGAAAAAAGATGAATAAATTAAATTATTTATTATGTATTCAAAATGATGGTAGCATTGATTTTTTTTTGCAATTTACGTACGGATCTATATCTAATTATGCAAGACAATTAACATTTTTTATGTAAAAAGAATATGTGCGAACATGTATACGGAACACATAAAATTGCACGCGTATCAGAATACATCAATATATGCCCAATATATACGCATATCTATATGTACAGTCATGGACAGAACGGTTGCAATACTTTTTTTCGGAATGTAGCTTGCTTACCAAGCGATTGGTTCTTACTTATGGATCTAACCATTTACATTTAACCTTTCTAGAACCAAGGTTGAGTTTTGAAATCCATCGAAAAAAAGTGTTGCAATCGCGCGTATTATCTGTACATATACAAAAATGTGTGTGTATAAGTTATTTAGACTTTATAGAAAGTTAAAATAAACTGAAGAAAAAAATTCTGTAAAAATATAACGACAGAGTCTATTTCATCATCACATTTAGATAATTATTGTACGTCACAACGTTTCATTTAATTTAAATAATTTTCCCATTTTGTGAGTTACCTTAATCATTTCAAATATGTTGTATATTAAATTTAAATTAATAAATTATAGTTTTCCATATTGACTAAATATATAATTAAAAAATTAAAAATTTAAAACAAAAAGGAAAAAACAAAATGGAGACCCACATTAATATTTTCTGCTCCATAGATATGTATCAGTCGTTTCCAGTACTTTTTGTTACGCGTTTGACATATTCTTGTTTAACCTTGTTTTTAAAATTAATCAATCATCGATAGTTTAATTAAAGTTTTTAATTTGCATAATTTCTCTGACAATAATTTTCTCCTTTTTATAACGCAATATGTTTAATTATTATAAGTTTAATTTCCAATTTTTGTGAGTAATCCCAGAGAATAACCACAGACTTTTAGTTTGTAATATTAACACGCAATAAAAGAAGTAGAGCGTTTGCATTTCTTGGATGTACTCATGGAATCTGAAAAAGGAAATGATGGAAAAATGTCACGTACTACCATTGATAGCTCCATTCTTTTCAATTCTGGAAATACTCTCGATGTAAAGTACGAAACCAAATAGTATCACAATAGTTTGTATAAAAAGTTATATCTGATTGACAACTTAAATAAACCTTATTTTATTTAAGAAATTTTTTCATTGTTTGGTAATCATTAGTTTTACACAAGATTTTTATTCTATCATTTAATTAAGATTTTTCTGTTTGTAGAAATTCTAGAAACGGTGGAAATTCAAAGGAAGTCATTGTTGAAGGAGAGAACAGAATTGAAGATAAAGTACAAGGCGAAACAATATTACTTTCTGAAAATAATAATTTCTCATGTTCCAACTCTGAAATTGTTTATGATGAATATGAAGAAGACGAAGATTATGTACGTTGGCAATTACCGAAGAGAAAAACGTTACCAACCATCTCAACCCTAGTATGTTTTTACTATGTTGATTATTTATTTAGAAAGGAGCTATAGAATTAAATTTAATTAAAATATTATAATTATTGAACTTTTAAAATAAAAATATTTTTTAATAATTTGCTAATTTTATTTTTTTGAATATAGCATATTTTTTTATCATCAAATATGACACTTTTCACACATTCTGATGTATCAATGGAAAAGTAAAAAATATTTGTATCGTAATGAATTTTTTAAAAATTTACATATTATTTATCTAATAGTGTAATATTATTTTATCAATTTATATTTTGTTTTTTTATTTTTAAATAATTGTAAACCAGTACATAATGGATGAAGTATTTATATAATGATATTTACAAATAATAATAATGTACACATAATTTTATATTATATAGAATTACAAATATATCTATATTTTAATAAGAATTAATCAACTCAGAAAGGTAAGTGTATATTAAATTAAAGTAAAACTTTTTATAAAGACTATTTTAATTAATCCAAATATGTTTTATATAGAAATGAAAATTATATTATAACTTCAATGTGTTTAATTTGTTCTAGCTATATGAATGGAGTAAAATACAGGTAATTCTGCTCTCGCAGCACCGTATACATTTTAAAAAACGTATAAATATATTATCTTCTTTATTTTTGTATTATTTTTTTGCACTAAATAATGTATCTACAATTTTGAATATACTACTGTGTATTGTATATGTTTTTTAGTGTTTAATTTATTATCCATATTACACACACATACACACACACACACACACACACACACACACACACCCAACACACACAAAACACACACACACACACACAAAACACAACACACACCACACACATACACACACGCACGCGCACACACATACACAACACACATACGCAACACACATATCTACTTTGTCATTATACAAAAGAAACATTAATGCATAAGATGAATAATATTAATACTTTATTTTAATAGTAATATTTTAAATTATATTTTGTAACAAATTATTTGATATTTTAGTCTTTTAAAAATATCACTTAAAATAACGATAGGAATATTTTTTCTTGTTTTTCTCATTTTTTTTTTTTTTTTTAGTTATACACAAAAAATATGAAATTATAATTTGCTCTTTCTTGGTTGTTTTTTTTTCCAATATTTTTCAAGGTTTACAAACAGCGTAGGACGTTATATACATAATGTAGCTAGAACAATAAACACTTTATTTCGTAGGTATCAGTTGTGCACACTTTTCACATAAAAATTTTATCAAATAAAGGATAATTACATCGTTCGATCAATTTAGTCTAAACCTCTAGAAATTGAAGCAATGACCAAAAAAGCACTTAAAGCGTTAGAAAAAGAGCAAGCGGCATCTGCAGCCGCTGAAGCTGAAAGAATTAGGTATGAGTTTAGGCAATCAATTATAAGAGATAGCAATTAATTAAATCTGATTACTTAAATTACACAGTAAATAAAATGTTAACACGGAAATATCAATGATCTCACCCATTAATTAATAGTAATGGACGTCTATATAATGTATTATCAATTACTCTATTTTGATAATTTTTTTAAACTATGGAGATTTAATTAAATTAATAAATCGATAATATTAATAAAATATGTTTAGATGTAAGTATAGAAAATAATTGCTCACATTACACTTTGAGCTTTTTCTATTTTGTTAATAAAATATTTTAAATCAAGAATGCAGATGATTGAAGAGATACAGGAAGAGATTCGATTAGAAAAGTACAATATGGAGAGACAAATATTAGTGGATGAACGTGAAGCAGCAATGCGAAAAGTTCAATTAGAGGAGACATTGTCTGTGCTTCATGATTACAAAAGTGCATTTATAAAATATTTAATTGCCTCCGAAGAAGAAGAAAATGTAAATAATATTATCTTTTCTTATTTATATACTTATAATAAATAATTATATAAGATGCTTATATGAAATACATATTTTTCTTTATTATAATATACGTTTTCTTGCATATTATTATCTCTTTTAATCATTTAACTATTTATTCTTGAATAACAAATATTAAATTAAATACGAATTATAATTGTATTAAACAGGCTTGTAATTCGCATAAAAGCGTATTTGATATCTTTAATCAATTTATTATTTTTAGTGGACTAGATATATGACTTGCGATGGATTGCCAGATCCTGGCAGTTTGTCTGAAATGAATACCTTTTTATTTGTATGGTCTATGGAAGACGAAAAAGTTAACATGAATAAATTTATTACAAAATTCAATATTATTATTTATGTAAGTAAATTTAAAATAATTAAGCCAATTAATAATTCTGATGCAATTAAAAGTAAAAAATTTTAAGTTACAAAAGTATAGTAAATACTTAAATAGTTAGATATTTTTATATACGTTACGGGCATATTGACATTGCAGACTTTGCCTGTAACATATACATTAATATATTACAATTAATTTAACAAAGATAAGAGATAGTATTTATAATGTTTTATTTTTATTTATCATGAAAATAAATAATTGCATATTTTCTTTTACAGCTGTTGACGAAACTCAATGAAATAATAGAATTCTCTTTAATTAGCTCACCAGATTATATAATCGAATGCAAGATGGTGATAATATAATAAATTCAATAATATTATAATATACAATTATATGCAATCAACTTGATATGTGATTCTTAAGTATAAAATTTTAATATTTACATAAGTTAAATGCTTAACAGATTAGACAACGATTTCGTGAAAAGCTTCAAGAATGGATAAATGCAGCGTGTTATTCTCTTTTGCGTCAGATAGACAGGGATATGATTCGCGAGGGCATAAAAACAGCAAGATACACTAATATTTCCGATCAAATCAGTTGTTGTATTTGGGTCTTGATAAAATTGCCTATTCCACTTAAATCAGTCTTTGAAAGAGATCGGCACGTATTAGCATTTAATATAACTTTGCATACATATAATTTAGAAGAATAAATACATTTCTTGCGAAATAACACGTAAACGTGACATACCAATTTAATTCATTGACTTCAAACTATAACTGAATCATTTTTGACAGAAAATCTATTGAAGTTTATTTCAAGGAAATTGAGCTGACTGTTAAAATGCCTTTAGACATTGATTGCTATTGTATGGCAATACGAGCATTATGGGTAAAGTATGATCATTATTCTGATTCTTCGAGCTCGTATATTATGCCAAAACTAACAGAAGAATATGAAAGCATATATACTATAGGTACAAATTATAATTTGTTTACGAATTTTATTCTTTAATTTATTACTTTGAGGATAAATGTTCCTCTTTACACAGCCAGTCCTAAATGATCTCTGAGTGATCTTGATCTTGACCCCTCAAGAAAGTTCGAAGAAAATATAATCGAGAACGGATAATTGGTGGGCAGTGGGTTTTTACTATTGAACGTAGCAGTAAATCTTTTTTTATTGTTCCTGTGAAAAATCGTATTGCACAAACATTAACAAGAATAATTCAAGAACGTATTGCACCAGGCAGTATAATTTACAGTGATTTGTGGAAAGGATATGTATCTTTAAAAGAACTTGATTATGTGTATCAGACCGTTAATCACTCTATTAATTTTATTGACTGAATCTGATGTACATACACAAAATGTTGAACGGTTATAGCGTGATATGCGTTCTGCTTTACCACGATTTGGTATACGAGAAGGACACTACGAACATTATTTAGCAGAATTTATGTTTAAAAAACGATATGATTTTAATTAATGACAAAATACCGCAATTTTTTAAATTAATGGCTTCTTTATATCCATTAAATGATGTATCGTTAAATAATGAATAAAATATTATACATTCTTTATGTTGGAATGTGATACGTTGTGTTGAAAAAGTATCATATTCATAAAAACGCTTTTATTAATAACTTTTTAATAAATAACGAGCAATGGAAAAGGTCAACGACCTTGACCTTCTTGTGGGTCAAGATCAAAGTCAAGGTCACTCGGAGGTCATTTGGGCTGACTATGTAAAGGGGAACATTTATCATATACATAAAAATTGAAAAGTATATCGTATGAAAGTTTTATATGTACAAACTAAAAAACTTATAAAGAACTATATTATAAATACTTTTATTTTTGTGAAGAAATACGAGTTATTAAATTTTTTGTTTTTATATATGCTTCAGATTTTTTAACCTATTTTCAAAATGAATATAATACGAAATTAAAGATACGTGAAGAGCAAGTTGAAGGCCGTCGCCTTCGATTGGAAGAAAAATATACTATACTTGAGAAAATAGAGAACCTGCCAGATCTGATACCTACAAAGCCTGAAAGGAAACGAAACCAGCAAAAAAAGCCGGAACAAATGCAAGAAGTGAAACATCCAGAGCAAGAACCGGAACAATTACCTTATCTGCCAACACCAGATGAAATTATTCTACAAAGAGCAGGTACAATTCTCAAATCGCATATAGTTGATACATTTATTAAAATTTTGAATTCTTTATTAAAAATAATTTATATTATTATATTTCAGCATGTTAAAAAAATAATATTTAAATATGTTAAAATAAAATACTTTCTACGCTGTATTTAGTATACCATAGCATTGTTAATATAAATGTAATAAAACAAAAAGCTAAAAATTTTATTTAAATGCCTTTTCTGATTAAAAAAATTGAAATCTCTAGATGTTCAACTTTATAGGAATTAATTCTTCTTTATATTAATTTATTTAATTTTATTGGATCCTATTTCGTCTTAAAATTAATGTAATAATGAAGTTATTCTAAATGTTCATTTTTCTTGCTTTTAGATGAATTTCAAAAGGAAATTAGAAAACTGCTGTTCACACGCTGCAAAAAGACAGAGATAAATTTAAGAAAATATAAGATACTTGGTGGTGTTTTACACATCGATCTAGTTTATCAGCCACCGCAACCAAAGGATATGAGAAGAGATATTATGCTTACTACATGTAAGCAATAATTATTTTGATATAGTAATTTGTCACATAATTCTGTTGTTAATGTTATCATTAAATGTTAACATTATTTTCTTTGCAGTGCAAATTCCTAAAGAATTGAAATCTGTACCATTTTACAAGCCGTATAAGGCGCCGCCTCCGGCACCAGATTCTGAAAGAACACCAGAAGTAATCGAAGCAGAAATGAAAGCTTTAGAGACCGCAATGGAGGCATTGGTTTTAGTAACTTTAAAGTATATTTTTTTTGATAAATTAATTATAAATAAAAATTGGATACAACAATAGTAAAATATAATTAAAAAATTATTAGTGTACCAACTCAGTTCAAAATAATTTCTCGAAAAGACATCTCGAAAATAAGTTGAACATTTTCAAAATTTCTGTTGATATCGATAAATTTTTTATTACAAATTGGATTGTTTATTACAATTTCGATTCATTTTTTAGTTAAAAATCAGAAAATAAGATTGAAAAAAATATTGATTTGATCTTTAAACGAAAAAAATCTTTAGAATATAAGATTTGTGTATCACACATATGTATACAGAAAAATATTAAAAAATGTATCAAGCTCTCATTACATACACAATTTTTTGTTACTCTAAAAAAGTATTGAAATTTTAGCGCAAATTCGAATCAACAACTTTTTAATCTTAACGATTTCGAAACGATATCATTTCACTGAACTATTTTATTACGGATAAATAATTAAAAAATCAATAGTTCTAACGAAGATGTAACGCATAATCAAAATGTAATGCAGAATGACGAATTATAATTATAAGAACAGAATAATTATATATAATAATAA